GGAGAGTCAACTTTCAGAATAAGGGTAATAAGTGTGTGATTTACCTCTCATGTTATGTTGAACGTGAAGAATATCAATATAATAATTAGAAACCTTGGAATCAATTAAGTGCCAAAATCTTTGATAGAAAAGTGCACCAAGTCCATCTTCACCAGAAGCTTTAGAAGGACACATTGATTTCATCACTTGAAAAAATTCCTCCCGTATAAATTCCTTGGCCAAAGTAGAATTAATGTCATGTGAAATACTCGATTAATACCACCCAAGATTCTATCATCAAACAAACCAGTGATGGACGTGAAAAGCTCTTGGAAATACTGTCGAGCCACTCTCTCCATAACCAATTCATCTTCAATTCGAGTCTCGTCATCAGATTAAAAGAAACAGACATGATTACATCGTCGTCATTCCGAAGCAAAGCAAGTCGTGTTGTTGTCTCCAATTTTCAACCAATTTGTCTGCACACGTTGTTCCCAATATAGTTTCGCTTTATCAAATTCCAGATTTAGCTGAAGTCTCGTGTTCACAATTTCACCAAGGATATTATCAGTAGGAGTACGCTTTATCAAATCATCTAAACGTTTCTGTAAATCTGTCTTGGTTAAACGCTTCTCCCAAATTATATTTTTTTACTATCTAACCCATGTAACACCCAACTAAGTTTGTTCAGTACTAAACCTTTCGCTTCTTGCCACAGTCTGTGAATCTTATCCTCGCAAGTCTCCTCTAATAACCAGGAAGCTTCAAACTTAAAGTTCCATATACGCTTAACAGATGCCATAGAGTCTATCTCCAACAAAAGAGGACAATGATCCGAAAATGAGTGTTGGAGATGTACTAAGCTGAAAGAATGGAAAACAATACCCCATGTACAATTAATTAGGCCTCTATCCAGTCTTCCACAATATTCGTCTCAATTCTTCTACCTCTTTCCCACGTGAACCAAACGTCTTCATAACCCATATCAGATAAACCACAATCCTCCACGACACCTTTAAAATCATCCATTTGACGCTCGCTCCAAATCAAACCTCCTTCATTTTCGAATGAGTAAATGATTTCGTTAAAATTGTCAATGACTAGCCAATGCACATCTGGCTCCGTATTAAATAATCACAACAAATCCTAAGATTCATGTCTACGGGACTCCTTCAGTGCTCCATAAAAACCAGTGCATCTCCATTGAAAGTCATCTCTATCATCCTCAATAAAAACATCAATATGACAAGAAGAATAGGAGCATAAAGTTACTGTGCAATTATATCGCCATGCCATACAAAGTCCTCATTTAGTACCAAGCGCATCAACTTCAATACCAAATTAGTAGCCACAACTTTCCGAACTCGTCTCCATCATAAAAACTACAGTGGGGGTTAATGTCTCGCAGCAAAAGCCAGAGACGACGAACTGTTCGAGGTTGCCCCAAACCTTGAATACTTCAACTTATGAGTTTCATTGCGCACGGTTGACCTGATCTTTCAGGTTTGCCAATAATTTGGAAAGAACAGGGTTTGAAATGTTTTCCTTGTTACTGGTAATGATTGATGGAGTGCTACGTTGTCTCTTTGCTCCATCTTGTTTTGAGACTGGATTATCTTCTTCTGTAACTGCCATAACGACATCATCAGAAGAATTAAGTCCCGTCACACCCAAAAGTGCCTCATTCAGTTCCAAAACAGCATTATTTTAACACTGTAAACATCTAAAAATATGAATCATAGATGTTACATCAAATTGATCAATATTCACTATTCACAATTACTTAATTTTTTAAAAAACATTCATATTTTAACTTTAAAACCAATTATATCTACTTGAATTTCCATATCATTTAAAAACATAATATATATATATATATATATTATGCATACCAAATATTGATAAACTAAACTAATTAAAATAAACAATCCTAATTACTATTGCAAACCATTTAATCAAAAACTGATAAAACAAACTAATAACATAATTATACATGTCACTATTAGTCAAAAGAAATATCAATGTTGTCTTACTGATACTGATATTAGAGATGATCTTCACAAGATACTCGGGAGGCTCCTCACAGTATGTTCGTATCTCTATCAGATCTTATGCATGAAAACCATCACGCGCTAAGTATGACTTAGTGAGACAATAATACTAAAGGTGAGAATAAATAAATAAAGTATCGAAATATATAAAAACATTTAAAAAAAAATTCAGACAAAACTTTCACAACGTTCAAATCGGATATCTCATGTTGTATTTTTATCAGAAACCTGAAAAGAATCATCTTATTATTTTTTTTATAAAATCGCAATAAGTCATATCAAACATAATATCAGCCAACGTTCCTTTTTCAGACAGACATTTTTCAAAACTTTTATATTTCATTTTTACATCCCAAAGTATATTTAAGATAATATAAGGTACGTGAGTCAGACGAGTGTGTGCAATAAGAATCTTAGTGCTATTATCATAATCAGAACATATAAGCACACACAGTGCTATCACATCGAAAATTACAGTATGCACACAAAGTGCAATCACAACAGAATACACATATCAGTGTACCCACCGGTACACCACAGTAAATCAAAATCAATATATAATTACTCCACCTCATGGCATGCCAATTTTTCCTTTGACTCTCAATACAACATATAATGGGCTTTCAATTCATAATCGGTTGATAAAAAATAAGAATTATATTCAGATCATACTCGTAAAACATGACGTGGGCAATTCATACCCAAAACAATTCATAAAATTTATTACAATATTACGAACATAATTCCATAATCAAATCATAATTCATATATTTGAAATAAATAATGTGATGTTGACTTATCGCAAGTTGTCATCGATCAAAATAATTAAATAAATAAAATACACTCACATTTGCCTCACTATCAAACTTTTATATGCAAATTATTTATTCTTGTACTTTTTCCTTTCCTTTCGAGTCGTTCGGATCTCTAGGTTTATCGTAGTCTAACAACATAACATAATAATATAAAATATTAAACTATATGTTAGTATCATACTAACATAATTTAAACTTAAAATATCAAAGTCTATAAAAATAAAAATCGATACAAACTTAAGTCATGCTTTCATCCAAAATTCAAACTTCTCAAAATACCCTTTAGCTTCCATAAATATTTATTTCCAACTTAAATCCCTCGACTTTTGACAATTACACATTTAAACCAAAATTTTGAATTCTTTCTAAAATTCACCTCAAATTTTCCATTAAATTCATAATAGCCCTTCACTATTATGATCATATCACATTATTCACATGAAACTCCAACACTTTCATAAAACATTCAAATCAGCACTTAAACATTCAAAAGCTTGCAAATTCATCCTAAATTGTCTTAGACTTTTCAACTTTAACCATCCAATTTAATAAACTTGCAATTCAACCCCAATTCAATATTAAATTCCAAAAATCAGCATACAAATACAAATTTACAGCATTGCCACAATTTACCCAAACGATACTCTTACATTTAATAACTTGCAAACAAGTCCCCTATTTTCTTGAACTTTTCGAATTCCACCCCAAATTTTACCAAATTTTGAAATTTGGTTCCAAACAACTTTCCAGTCTTAATTTTCCAGCATCTCAATATTAAAAAATTAACATTGAACACCCCAAAACTCACATTTAGACAATAATGTCCCACCATTCTTAAAACTTGTAAACTAGCCCTTTTACACTTTCAAGGTTCCAAATTGATCCAAATCAATCTCCAATTCACATAGAGTACTTCTAATATCATTTCTAATCCATAGGAAAATTTTCAACAATTTCCCCCCAATTTCTTCTCTATGGCCGAATGCTTCATGTCACCTAAGGGGGACTTTTAGTTCAATTTCAAGCATGAATTCAACCTTCTATGATTAAATTCATGCATTTCAATCATCACAACATCAAATTGAATCAAAATCCCATCATTCTCATAAACCCTAGCATATCCAAACCTTATATATGCTTGTACAAATAATTTTAATCATTATACATGCTTTAAGAATAATCATCAACATCAAAAACATAAAAATCCTTCATCAATTCTTCAAAATCACCAAACCCTCCTTAAACCTTATCACCGAATCTCAACAAACAAGCATCTTCATCAAACAATATCGGTACCAAATGATAGAGAATTTCATGTAGGTTAATTCTCTATCTAATACCTTAATCAAAAAATCAATCAAATAAACTTGAAATCAAATTAAAAATTCATACCTTGGAGAAATTGATGTTTCTCCCTTAAGGAGGAAATTGGCTGAAAATTTGATGATTTCTCTTGATTATTCTAGTATTTAATAAATAATACACATGACATTTATCTATTTTAATTGAATTTAAAATTCAATTAATGAAAAATTACAAAAATACCATTAATGAATCTTAAAAATTACTAAATGTCATTGTATTATCTTCCATTAAAATATTCATTGGTCAAAGATGAATCAATTTGTCTTTGACTTTCTAATTTGGCATGCAATTTTTGAAAATTATATTTTAGTCACTAAAATTCCACTATTCGGCCCAAACTGAAAAATTACACTGTTATGTACTAAATTTATCTGACATAAAATATGAAAATAATATTTCCAACCATTTTATGACATCCTTCAAATTTTCGTAAAATTTCAGTTTGATCCGATTATCCGATTTCAATACTGAACTTTATCGCTTTATAACTTTTAACACAAATTCTGTATCGAAAATATGATTCTCAGGAAAATCCTTGTTTTAGGCCAAACTGTTAATTTATGGGCTAAAATATATAAATTTTCAAAATTTCATTTTTGTACCCTAAACTTTTCAAAGTTTACACTTCAGTAACCAAACTTTCAAAACTTACATTTTAGTCACTAGAAAAAATTTGGGATATTACATGGATACCCTCTGTTGTCTCGATTTCTGTGAGTGTAATCCCCTGGGTTTACAGCTTGATTCCCCTCTGACCCTTCTTCACTAACCAAAGGTTAGGTGTGTAACTTCATCTTCTTGGTAGAGCCTTTAAAGAGGCATCCCACTGTACGGTTAAATCCTTGCTCTCCCTAAGGATACACAATAGATAGAAACCTTCCCCATGACTGAGCTTACAACACATAAAGTAAAACATTTTCAATTTCTCATACCGAAACGAAGCACAAGAGAACTTCCCGCTCGGTAGCGCCAACTTCTTCCTCTTCAACAGTTTTCGAATATCTATGCGAACCCGAAATCGGAGATTGCTTCTGTACCCTAGCGATACAACTATGGCATTATACTCCAGGAACAAACCCATAAAGTTGCCTAGCAATTTTGCAACTTGTTCTGATATAAAGCCCATCGACAAATCATTGGCTAACACCAAAACATCCACCAATTGTAGCTCTACCCCCATTGGGTCCTCTCCTCTATGTAGACGATGGAGAAGCAACATATGTGAGTTAAAAAACCAAGGCCCCTCTCTTTCAATCTGATTAACATCAACTTCATGGTATAGCCAAAACAAAAACAGTCCTTCATCCAATTCGGTTATAGAGATTCCCCTTATAGAATGCCATACATTAGCCAACATCGTCTTCATCGCCAGAAAATCGATATTCCTCGTGGTAAGAAATCACACCACAAAACAAAAATCAAACGACACAAGAGGCACAATATTCATTTGATCCAACGCCAAAATCTCCTCCTCTTCATCCTCTAGAATTAAATTTTCCAGCACTCTCTCCTAATCTCCCATACTAACCGAAGAAAAACACTATAAACAACAAAAAGAATGAAAGATATTAGATCACACCCAGAAGAATTGCCAAGACAGCTAAGATAAAGCAAGCCACAAGACTGAGAAAAAAAAACCTTAATATGAGGGTACTTTAATAAAACTATCTAAAAATATAATTATATAAAAGAATAAAGTAATTTGATTAACTGATAAATATGTTGTTATCTACTATATTCTGTCTATTGTTTTCGGGTAAACTATATTGACGATCACCTAATTGATTAATTATATATTTTTTATTTTGAAAAAGCTATATATATAAAGAAACGAAAGGATGCTATTTAATGCTCCGTCGAACCTTATATTATATTATATTATATTATATTATATTATATTATATTATATTATATTATATTATATTATATTATATTATATTATATTATATTATATTAAAGTTTTGTATTTGTGTGATTGGTGCGAAGTTTTCTGGTCCCTCGAGAATCTAATGAGCCTGAGACTGTTGTTATCATGAGGCTGACAACAATTTAGATTTTCATGACGGATACCCAATAGTTCACAAAAAAATATTTTTTTAAAGTACTGCTAATATTTTAGCAGTATAAAATTATTAAATACAATATATTTGTGTATTGCAGAGATAAATTTTATTATTAAAAATTAGAATAAATCATATGATTAGTTATCAAAAGTTGTACATGTACCACACAAAAAAAAGCCCCCCCCAAACAAAAAAGATGGAGAGAGTTAGATTTCAATTAAAGTTCACCAAGTCATTCGAGGCTTAATCAACAATATTTGTCCATATCATTTTATTCAAGTTTGAATTTTCATCAAATAAAAATAAGAAATAGTTAGTTATTTATAAGTTATTTTAAAATTTGTGGCTTTTATTCACTGATATTAAGGATAACGTGGTGAGCCGGATCTATCAAATAATTTCTTAATATTTTGAGACTAATTTTAAAAAGGAGAGAATAAAAAAACATATCAAGGTACAGAGCGATGGATGACCACAAACATGCAATGGAAACCAGAGAATATTTTGATTAAATAAAGCAACATCTATTAGTCAAATTTCATATTAGAAAATTTGAGAAAATATTATTTTTAAAAAAGTTAGAATCAAATAATTATATTAGATAAAATTACAATTTTAAATGAATAATTATCTCGAATTTATTCAAAATTTGATCATCCCTAATTACATATTTTTTACAAGTTTAATATATATATATATATATATATATATATAGGATAAGTATAAAATACTATCCGTTCAAATAACACTCTCAACTATTTTGACATTGAACGTTCATAATCATTGTAATATCCCAAATTTTGGTTAGTGACTAAAATATAAGTTTTGAAAGTTTGATGACTAAAGTATAAACTTTGTAAAAGTTTAGGGACCAAAAATATAATTTTAAAAAAAAAATTATATATATTAGTATGTAAATGAACAGTTTGGCCTATGATAAGGATTTTAGTGGTAATTAGATTTTCGGTACGAAATTTGTGTTAAAAGCTATAAAGCGATAAAATTCGATATTGAAATCAGATAATCGGATCAAACCAAAATTTTAATAAATTGAAGGATGTTAGATGAGGTTTGGAAATATTATTTTCCATATTTTAGAATAGAGAAATTTAGCACAGATCAATGTAATTTTTCATATGTGACCAAAATGTGGAAATTTAATGACTAAAATGCAATTTTCAAAAATTGCATGGTCAAAGTAGAAAGTCAAACTCAAATTGGTTCATCTTTGACTAAGGAATATTTTAATGAAAGATATTACAATGGAACATGGTAATTATCATAATTCATTAATGGCAAAATTGTAAACTAGAATGAAATGAATTTTAAATTCATTTATATTATTAAGTGATGTGTATTATGATAATTAGGTGTAAAAAAATCAAGAATTTCTCATCTTCAAACCCTTTTGGTCGTGGGTTCCATAGCTATAAGGTAAGAATTTTTGTTTTGAATTTTAAGCTAACATGATTGCTTTTTGGACTAAGTTATGGAATAGATAATTAATCTACATGAAATCTCTATCATTTGGTATAAAAATTACATGGTGAACATGTCTATTTCATGAGATTGAAAATTAGGGTTTATGTAGGGTTTATGGATTTTGAAGGATTGATGAAAGATTATTATGTTTTTTATGTTGGGGATTAATTCTAAAGCATGTGTGATAATTGAAATCATGTGTATATGTTTATATTAGGTTCGACCAACTTAGGGTTTATGGAGAATTGATGGATTTTGATACAATTTGGTGTTGTAATGATTAGAATAGCATTAATTTGATGCAAGGAAGTTGAATTCATGCATGAAATTGAATTGAAATCAAGCCCTAGAGGACTTATAGTGTTCGGCCATAGGGGAATAAATTGGGAGAAATGTTGTAAAATTTTCTATGGTCTAGAATTGATATTAGAAGTATTCTATGAGATTTGGAAATCAATTTGGAAGCTTCATATAGTAAAAGGACAATTTGGAAAATTTTGGGAATTTTGGGATCTTAATGTGTAAATGTGCTAATTGAGGGACTTAATGTTGATTAATAATAATTGCATGTTGGAAATTTTAGTTAGGAAGTTGGTTGGAACCCAATTACAAATTTGGTAAATTTTAGTGGTGGAATTCGAAAGGTCTTGATATTATAAGGACTTGTTGGTGAATTTAAAAAAGTTTTTGTATTATTTTGAACAAGAAATTTGCAATGCTGGAAATTTCATTAGTATGCTGATTTTTGAGTTTAAATATTGAGTTGGGATCGAATATCAAGTTTATAAAGATGGATGGTTGAATTCAAAAAGTCTAAGAAAGTTTAGGAAGAAATTGCAAGTTTTTGAATGTTAAAGTATGGATTTAATTATTTTATTAAAATGGTGGAAATTTTAGTAATTAATGTGCAATGATCATACTGGTGAAGGATCTTTATGAATTTAATTGAAAATTTTAATGTGAATTCTAAAAAGAATTCATAATTAGTGGCTTGAATGTGAAATTGATAAAAGTTAAAGGGTTGATTATGAGAATAAGTATTTGTGGAATTGAATGTGTATTTTGAGAAGTTTGAATTATGAAGGAAATACGATTTAGTTTTATACCGATTAAGTATCGATTCTACTTTTTTATAAGCTTTTATATTATTAAGTTTAGATTATGTTAGTAAGATACTAACATACAATTCAAATATTTTATGTTATTATGTGACGCCGTTAGACCATGATAAATTTAGTGATCCAAGTAACTCGAAAGGTAAGGGAAAAGTGCAAGATTGAGAAGATTATCATCGATAAGTTTCGATAGTGAGGCAAAGGTGAGTGCGTATTTTATTTGTATTTAATTTATCAAACTAACATTGGCTTACGATGAGCCAGTGATGAAGTTACTATGGTAAGTGATAACTCCATAGAAAGACTCTATTTTTAGTCTTTTTACTTAAGTTATTGTTTGTCTAAACATTGGTGTCATAGCATATTAGTTGCATTTAGGTTATAATTGCATGTGGTGGATAAGTTTTGCCTAGGCAAGATTTATTTGGTTTAATTGATGTTGTTGAGGAGATGGAGCTTTTATGGATTGTGTGTGTGCAGGAATTGACTTAAGAGGAACATTTCGTCCATGACAATATATTTCGCAAGGGCCAGTGGAACACAGAAGAAAAAGACAGTGAGGAACAGATTTTTTTTTCCAAGGTAAGATTTATCTTGCAAGTCTGAAGCAGATCTGACGAATTGCTAATGTCACCTGCCAGTTGTACAATTGACCTCACGTGCAATCAAGTCCCCAAGATTCTGACAATATCCAACAACCTTTCGATTTATATCATGGACAAGTTTACGAAAAACCCTAAGAAAATTCCCTTAATAAATACTCAGTCACAACTTCCAAAAGGAGGTAAGGCAAGGAAGAAAAAAAATTACCTGAGGCGTGGAGTAACCAGCTGCAGTACCTTACCTTCCATCGTTCTCCAACTCGACTGTCCTTGGTGTCCCCCATATCCTAGCTATAGAAGAGTGCCGACTAGGCCTTGAGAGCATACGCGGTGCTAGTCAGAGTTGTCACGGCACAACCCCTGTTTGGGAGTCGTTCTTCATTTGTTCTTAATTTCTTTAATTTGTTATGGGTTTGTATTAAACGATGATACTTTTGGATAACACTTTGGCAACACCATGAATTGACTTAATAGGAACATTTCATCCATGACAATATATTTCGCAAGGGCCAGTGGAACACAGAAGAAAAGGACAGTGAGGAACAATTTTTTTTTGCCAAGGCAAGATTTATCTTGCAAGTCTGAAGCGGATTTGATGAATTGTTAATGTCACCTGCCAGCTGTACGAGTGACCTCACGTGCAATCAAGTCCCCAAGATTCTGACAATATACATCCGCCTTTCCATATATATAATGGACAAGTTTACAAAAAACCCTAAAAAATTCCCTTAATAAATACTCAGTTACAACCGCCAAAAGGAGTTAAGGCAAGGAAGAAAAAAATTACCTAAGGTGTGGAGTAAGCAGCTGCAGTACCTTACCTTCCACCGTTCTCCAACTCGACTGTCCTTGGTGTCCTCCATAGCTAGGCTATAGAAGATCGTCGATTAGGCCTCGAGAGCATACGTGGTGCTGGTTAGAGTTGTCACGACACAACCCCTGTTTGGGAGTCGTTATTCATTTGTTCTTAATTTCTTTAATTTGTTTTGGGTTTGTATTAAACGATGATACTCTTGGATGACACTTTGGCAACACCATGAATTATTTTACTTGGTGTTGATTTTTTTTTGTCGAGATAATTATTTTCTGGTTCATGAATGATGC